TTGCGATGTTGTAACCTTAATTCAAGTCTTTAGCTTCCTTTAATAGAGGTAGAGAACGAGTAGTTGGAGGTTTTGAGCAGACAAGCTAACTTAGTATAGAAGCATGCCAAGAGATATGTTGTAAGATGTATATGGTTAGTAGCATTGTCCACTAAATAATGGCTTTATTCATAGCATCTTTCAAAGTACTAGTTATCTACCAAAAGGTAGAACAGACTGAAGAGGTCACATTACCATTCCTTGAGCCTTGTAAAACAAAACCCTATTTGACTCTTTTCAAATTTCTGGCGCTTTGACAAGATTGGTCTGCTTTTGGTACAAGGTATAGATCAGAGTCACCTTTAGCCTTCAAGTTCGGAGTTGTCACCAGAGCCTAGAACATAATACCAGAGTATGAACCTTCAGAAGTTGATGAACACATTCATAGTCACTGGATTCTAATAAATCAAAATCACCAGATTCTGATCATTCAGAATTTGAGTAACATTACTTCTCCACATATGTTTTCAGCAAGATTAATTCATAGTGAATTCTAAGCTTGTGATCTTGCATACATGAACATTTTTTAATATACCCGTTTGTTCTATAAATACTTTGTTATCATCAAAATCTAATGGATATGAACAATCTAGTTCAAATAGAGGTAAACACAGATGATTAAGTAGATGCCCTGATTAGTCTCTCACACGGGATAAGCGGAACCTTAGTAAATATGGTGGAATTAGTGTCTCCCATATAAGTTGATGGCTTGAAACGAAAAAATTGAGGATAGATTTGGAGGGCTTACTGGATGCGCTATCACACGTTGATGGAGCGGTGGCGCGTTAGGTCTTTATGCAGAAGGAGCAGTGGCGCATGAGGGCGCGTGGGAAGAAGGGTGGTAGTGAGATTTCGTGGACTCACTGATCTGAAAGAAGCAATTCCAGGGGTATATGTATCTCTCTGGAAGGAAGTTAGAAGCGACAACACTAGTGACGACAGTGCAGATTGTGGCCAGAAAAGTGGCAGTATGGTGGTGATCTGAATGAGTCACCCAAAACATTTTCTAATTGGAAGATAGTGGGTCAACCAGGTAAAGCAGGATAGACAGTTTAATCTCAACAAGCTCTTATTACATGTTATAACCAATGTGAGACTGTTTTATATACAAATATTCTTAACATTTTTAAATGTATTAAAACTGCAAAAATATCTTAGGGTCTCTTTTATAAATAATTTATTAATTAAATAATCGACAAAAATGTAATTTGTGTGTAAGTTAACTATTAAAAACATATTCTGAAATTCTGGCACTTTAAGACTGATGTCAAGGCTGATGTCCCAACACCAAAATACAATATAAAGACAGATGTTAAGACATTATCTGCTAACAGAAAACAATTAAATGCAGAAGGTAAATTGTAGAAGACTAAATAACGCAAACAATTGTTAACCCAGTTCAGTACAACATCACATACATTTGGGGGCTACCAAGCCAGGAAGGAAATCAACTATAATAGTATCAGTTCAAAGCAAAACCCCTCTGTTTACAACTTATCACATAATCACTACCCGTGTTACTTCTTCCTAGGAACTCCTAGATGCGAGAAACCCCTCTCACTTCCCACAATCACCTTAGTGATAAAACCAATCACAAACCAGTGACAAGAACAAAAATAGAAGATTACACTTCCAATAAACAATATCAGTTTTTCTTAAAAGCTTTAAACTGATGTACAATACAATCGTGCTTAAAATCTCACTAGTGAATAGTGAACAATCAGTCAACCTAATGCATCAAAACTGATACAAGAGTGACATGCAAAAATAGAACACACTAAAAGAACTCTCAAACCCTAAACCCTTATTTGTGCACACATGATTTCTTTAATGATAACACTCGAGTTTCTAGGTTTAGTAAGTCTCTTTATATAGACTTTTGCAGTACAGGCTTGGACTCTTCAATCAAATCCAATCTTCCAGTTGTAAATCATCTGCAAAATGTTCTTCAGAAAAATAGGAACGAATCTTCAAAGTTTCCAAAAAAGTCTCCAAGATCCTTTTTATGAAACCAAAACAAATTTCCAATGTTCCTAAAATATCCTTGCTTAGTTGCGCCTGTATGAGAACTAAAGTCATCCAAAATATCATATTTTAAAATCAAATATTCAAGGATTTAAAATGCAGAACTATTCTGATGTTCTGGTATAACCTGTCAAAACACATGTCAAGAAAAGTAACAACAAACTCTATTGTACCAGTTGGTCAAGATGTCATGACATCTTACTCAATATCTGGTTGTAATACATGTTTTTCCAAATTAAACATGTTTAACCAAAATTATTGTCAATCATAAAATCACAGACCTAACAATCTCCCCCTTTGGAAAAAGCTTGAAGAAAGCTCTTCCCCGGAATACCACTGAGGGATAACCAACCTCCTTTTTCTACCCCTTTTAACTCAAAATGAGAAAAAATAGTCCTAAGGTAGGCGTTATGTCCACTACGTCACAAACAATTTTAAAAGTCTTTATAAAACCCCAACCATTTGGGCTTAATTGAGAAGGGACTATATTTAGGGGTTTGAGGAGATCATAGTAAAAATCGGTAAATGGAGTACAAATCTTAAAATCCTCGATGAACCCTGAATAAAAATAGAAATATTCATCGAGAACTCCCTTGGAACGAGTAATACAGGCCCTCTCGCCTACCACGCAAGGCTCTAAAGTAACATCTTCATCATTCCCAATGGAAGAAATTTAATATTAGAATGAAGCTTTGAGATGTAGTTATCGTCGATGAAATTATGGTCGTAGCTTAGAACCTATTTATCAATCAAAGTTTATGTTTCCTCCATCAGAGTGTCTAACAAACTTGAGGATGAATACTTTAAGTCAGTGTTACCAATAGGTGAAGGGATTCACCATAAACTTCTCTAATAATCTTGTCAAAATCCATTCGACTCAAATAACACTCACACTCTCGCATGTAAGTATTCCAAATCCTATTTCTATCACCAACGGTGAGGGAAATCGAACATTATCCCGAGTAACTATAGCTTCGTATTGAAGACCTAATAAAAAGAACCAAAAGAGAAAAAAGGGGAAAGAAAATGATACTTGGGGTCTGATATATCAGAAGAAATGAGCGGTGGACGATGTAGAAGTTTGTCTGCAAAACTTGGGAAGAAGATCACTAGTTTTGGTAGTAAACCAAATGAATAAACAAAGTCCCTTTAAAAACGAGTTTGTAACGGTCAGGAATTCATATCAAAAAGAGAAATGATGACAAGTGAGAGTTACCATAAAAACCATCATGATAAGGAAAGAGAAATATTTGTCATCATTAAGATGACTGACACCTCAATGATTCTCTGAGCAGGAGGCCAATCTATGAGAGAGAGGAATTCTGAGATTGTCTTGACCGAACACTTCAATCTAATAGGACCTCATTATCGAGAGGCTTATGTACATCCCATAATTTCTAAAAACCAAAGCTTCTTTGAACCGAGTACAAGAAAACAGATAAGTCGGGTAAGCATAAATCTTGTACAAGTCGGAATCCGGTTAAGGTTCACATATCGGCAATGCAAGCATGTCGATCTTGTAGTAAACTCTGATAAAAGAACAAGCCGACTTTGACCTTATGGGTGGTGCTAGGAAGTCATGTGAAAAGTAACCATGGACGATTATGAAGTGTATCCATGATGGCAAAAGGGTTATAGAAGTTGAGGGAAAAAGGTTATGTGATGATTATGGAAGATGACAAATGTTATTCCGAGTGGCCTTAATAAGGGATATGAAAAAGAACACTTTAAAGGGTCATTGATGGTTGAAGGAGTATAAAAACGAGATTTCCTACATGAGAAAAGGATAGAGAATAATCACCTGAAAAAACACATTTACAAACACTTAACCAATCATTTGAGACTCCCTAACTAACATCAAAGAAGTCAGCCTTTTAATGTTTTTAGCAAGAAATATATATATATATATATATATATATATATATATATATATATATATATATATATATATATATATATATATATATATATATATATATATATATATATATATATATATATATATATATATATATATATATATATATATATATATATATATATATATATATATATATATATATATATATATATATATATATATATATATATATATATATATATATATATATATATATATATATATATATATATATATATATATATATATATATATATATATATATATATATATATATATATATATATATATATATATATATATAAGAAGATGTAAAACTCTTATTACATCAAATCTTGCATTCTAAATATTTGTAAAGATATTTTAGAAACAACACAACTAAAGTGACTTTAAATATATTACACGTGATATAAAATAGTTTAAATAGTTACTACATAGTTATTAATTTGTAAATATATTTATATTTTTAGTAATTTATAGAACTAAAATAAAAACATCTCAAATATCCACAAATTAAAATAGTTATTTCTCAACAATAAACCACAAATTAAAATAGCTATTTTCTAAACTTGTTTCCCTTTTCTTTCTCCCTTCCATTAAAAAGCATGAAGCCAATTGGCATCCTTGAACTCCTAACAAACAAATAGTTGGTGACAGCCTCTCTTGCAACTAATTATAGTAATAACATCTCATGTATCTACATATCACAAATGTTGTTTAATCAAACAGAAACCACAAATTTCCTCTCTCTCTCTCTCTCTCTCTCTCTCTCTCTCTCTCTCTCTCTCTCTCTCTCTCTCTCATCCATCCATTATTCAATTGGCATCCTTGAAATCCTCAAAGACAATGGTTGGGACAGCCTAGCCTGCCCAAAATAATTGTTTATTTTAATCTATTTTTGTCTTGCAACAACTATATAAACTCACACACACATGCCATTAATGTTCACCCACTACCAATCCTTGTTTCTTAATATCAACTTTCTCAATTTCTTTTCATCAAAGAAATTGAGAAAATATCAAGTTAAATTTCAGAAATGGAGGCAATGAAGATCAATCAATTCTTTGTTGTTATGGTTGTGGTGGTCATGATGGTTGCAACATCAAGTGTGTCAGCTGTAGAAGCACCAACATCAAGTGTTTCAACTCCAGCTCCAGGTCCTACATCTGATGCTACAACCCTCTTTGTGCCAACAATGATTGCATCCTTTGTTGCTCTTGTTTTTGGATTTCTTTTCTAAATTTATGAGCAATGAAATTGTAATTGTTCAAAAGATTTTCTTATATTGTTATTGTGTATTAAACTATGATTCATAATAACATATAACACTTTGATTCCTTACTTTACATGGGTTTTGAATTGGATTATGTAATATTTTGTGATTTTTGTTTGGTTTCATGATGGTTTTATTCTTTCTAATTTTCTTCTTCTTGTTTTCGATGATGTTAAGAAGATTATTTTAATTTTCCAATAAAGATATCTAATTTTGAATTTGTATAAAAGATATACAAACCAAATATAATCATTAGGAATGAAAGGGAAATTTGAAAAGTAGAAGAATTATGAATTATGGAATTTTAGTGGTATATACTTTCCAATCGGTTATAAGTAGTTGTATGAAAGATAATTGTTTCGGTAGAATTATTGTTAATGTTCAAATAGTATTTCTTTCTAGTGATTAAATTTTTTATAGGATTCGGTAGAATGCGAGTTTATGATTGAATTTGAACCAAAGACCTTTAGTTAGATAGAAGAGATCCCGCTATCTCATCCAAATGTTCTTAGATGTTTTGCTAAATTTTTTTATATGTTAGATTTTATGTCTCTTATTCTTTTTTGTTATTTTTATTTTAAAAAAGTGTAGTTTTTTAAAAAAATTATAAATAGTTTAATGATTAAATATATAATATTCATTGTTATCATCATTATCACCAATCAGACCTCATTAATTTTTAATGAGATGAGTAATCAATTTTATTTTTTACATATCAATTCGTCAAACATTTAATAGATGTTATATCATTAAACACATATGATTCGTGACTATTCGACCTAACCATATTTCTAAAATTTGATTCTATATATGATATATCAGTAATCAACATTAGAAAATATTTTTCAATCATGTTTCAAATTAAATATCAAATTGTAAGTGTTATAACATATGTTTCATGCTGGCGCACAACCTAGAAGAAAGACCCAATCCAAATTGTAAGTGTTATAACAAATTGTAAGTGTTATAACATATGTTTCATGCTATCTCATGCATCACCATATAGGAGAACACCCCTTCACTCTAAATCAATAGTCATCATCTAACGGTCATATGCGCTTCATGTCCGAAGACACTAAAATGGTTGCAATGACTTCCTTTATATAAGTGTGATTCTGAGTCAAACTAAAGTATAATTCATTACACACTTTTAATGTTATATTTCAATCTTTTACTAACTTGAGTGACAAAGTTCTAAACATTCATGCCCCTTATCCATTAACTAGATAATTTTCTCAACGACATCAAATGTATTTCATGTCAATCTCCATCACTGCACCATTCATCTTTTGTTCCAATATCAGACAATGACACAGTATGTGAGAAACACTTTGCGAAAGAAATGATGTCGCGCACAAGACACTTTTCCATTTAACACTTAAACGAATGTGCCAACATAAAATTTAAGGAATTCAGGATGAAGTACACCTAAGACGTGAAGAAGTCCCTGCACACCGATAAGTCAAAATATTACCTGTTTCACAATTATCACACACAAAAGGCCAATGATCATATCCACCTCAAGAATCCATCTAAATAATTAATCAAGAAGGGAATAAGAAGATATGCATAGACTTTCAACGAAAAGTTATACGTAAGAGAAAATCCTGCAAAGAAAAATATCCCCCTTCCATGATGATTTTCCGCCAAAAGAGACATTTGAAGTAGTTGAGTGAACCAATAAAGAGAGAGAATAATAAAGAAGGTCACATAAAAGTAAAGTGAAATTTCATCGCCTCAATCAAAAAAGTATCTATAATCCAAAAGGAACAACACAAAAGAACCATAAAGAGAAAGATCATTGAGATGTTATCTACTGATCAAAACATGAGTCGAGCATCAAGAAAGAACCTTAAGCGACCCATTCTAGAATTTTGGGATGACAAGATGTTATGAGGGTACCTATATATATTTTTGTAAGTGCTCTTGATTGGCTGCATTTTGTGGTAAAACACTAGAGCATGTATGTATGTCATGACTGATGTTAGTACATACATAATATGGTTTGTGTAGGGTAAGTTAACTTAGCTAAAAGCAAGTTAAGTTGATGTCATACCCAATGTTATGATTTGGGTCGTATGACATCAAGCGCAGGTTTGTTTTTATGGTAGCTATAAACTAGGAAACATAATAGGAGCTCAAGCTGAATATCAGGAGACTTTCTAGAAGCCCTAGGCGAACTAAAATATCCCTGAATTAAGTGGCAAGCGTGCAGATCATTGAAAATAGGTTTGTTATGAATAAAACCTAATTTATGCACCAAGGCCCAAAAGGACTGACAACTGTTATAAATATCAGAAGAAGCAATCCTAAAAAATAGCTCTTGACAGAAGAATAGAGAGTGTATATTGTAGAGTCCTTGTGAGTGAAGAAGGCTAGTCTTCACGTGTGAATTGAGTCTTAGGAATACTTGTACTCTAAGAAATTGTCTGTTGGATGATTGCATTGGTTAGGTAGAATCTAAGTTGTGTCTCACTTAAAGCTGTGAAGCAAGAGTGTGTGTACCTCGATCAAAGCTGTGAAGCAAGATCAAGGTGTGTATGAAGTGTCTCTTCATATTGTTTTTGTAATTGTGAGTTATATATCACTGTGGTGTGATTGAGGGGGAGCGAGTGGGAATACTCAGGTCTAGAGTGTCTCTAGGCAGAAGTGTCATTGGGTAGGTTTTAAGTGAGGAGTGCTAACTGTGTTGTTTGACTCTGAATTAATTCTGCTAGTAGTGAAGTTCCTCCCTGGCTTGGTAGCCCCTAGATGTAGGTGTTGTTGACACTGAACTGGGTGAATAATTGTTGTGTTATTTACTACATTAATATTACTGATTATTAGTTGTTAAGGAGCAGATGTCACAGTGGATGTTATAACTTTGGTAATAACATCCATCGTGTGCTTGCCAGAATTTTCAATTGGCATCAGAGCAGGCACCCTGCCTGTTTAAATCTGGGTGAGATCTAGGGAAAATAAATTCCAGTACAATGGATAAAGATATAGGATTCACTAATAGACCTCAAATTTTGGATGGATCAAATTATGACTATTGGAAACCAAGGATGATTGCATTCTTGAAATCTATAGACTACAAGGCATGGAGAGCTATGAATTCAGGATGGGAACATCCAGTGAAAATTGACAAGGATGGAGCATCAGTGTTGATTTCTGAAGAGGAATGGAATAAAGAGCAAGAAGCTCTGGCTCTTGGAAACTCTAAAGCCTTGAATGCTCTATTTAATGGCATAGATAAAAACATCTTCAGGCTGGTACACCACTGTGAACTAGCAAAGGAGGTTTGGGACACTCTCAAAACTACTCATGCGGGAACCTCAAAAGTAAAGATGTCTAGACTACAAATGTTGACTACAAAATTTGAAAGTCTAAATATGAAGGAAGATGAGATAATTCATGAGTTTTACATGAATTTACTTGAACTTGCTAACAGCTCAGGAGCTTTGGGAGAAAAGATGTCTGAAGAGAAGCTTGTGAGGAAAATCCTCAGGTCCTTGCCTAGAAGGTTTACAATAAAGGTCACAACCATTGAAGAAGCCCAAGACATATGCCACATGAAAGTGGATGAACTCATTGGTTCCCTTCAAACCTTTGAAATGAAAATGAGTGATCAGGCTGCGGAGAAAAAGAACAAAAGTATAGCTCTTGTTTCAAACACTACAGAAGAGGCAAGAGGAGAAGATGGGGAAAAAGAAGAAAATTTGTCAGAAGCAATAGCACTGCTTGGAAGACAATTTAGTAAGCTGATCAAAAGAATTGATCAAAAGTCAAAGCCCTATGTCATAAACAGCTCCTCTGACATCAGCAAAGCTTAAGACAAAGCTGGCCAAAGTAAAGGAGTCCAATGTCATGAGTGTGAGGGATATCGACATGTTAGGAGGGAATTCCCACATACCTCAAAAAGAAGGGAAAAGGCCTAACTGTCACTTGGTCTGATGAAGACTCAGGAAGTGAATCAGAAGGAGAGTCTACCAAGCATGTCACTGCTTTCAGCAGTGTGTGCATATCTGATGGTGACTCAAGTGAAGAAGAGATGACATTTGAGGAGCTTGCAGCCTCATATCAAAAGCTTCACATCAGAAGTACTAATCTGTACCAGCAAGGAGAGCATTAGAAAAAAATCATCAAGGAGTTAGAATCTGAAAAGAAGGAGCATCTAGTCACTATAGAATCACTCAAAGGTGAGGTCAACCTATTGAAGTCTAAATTGGACCAAATGTCAAAATCCATAAGGATGCTTAATCTTGGAACTGACACCCTAGAAAAGATTATGCAGAATGGTCAGAATTCAAGAAATAGGTCTAGACTGGGATTTGTTGAGAGACAAAATCCTGGGTTGAAACGCAAGAGATTACAACCTGAGAGTCAAAAGTTAAAAAGGATGTCACGACCAATGTCATAACATCCACCACACAGAAACTGGAACCAAGTCAAGAGACAATTTCAGGGGTATAGGTGTTACCACTGTGGAAAGCTTGGACATATTAAAGCTGTGTGTTTCTGGCTGCATGGATTTCCTACCAAACAAGGTACTCATGGCAGGAGGCAGTATCATGCCAAACCCAAGAAGGAGGTTCCTAACAAGCAAAGACAATGGGTTATGAAGACTGTTGCACTGGTAGCTCACACTTTCCTAAGAATGCCAACCAAAGAGGATTGGTACTTTGACAGTGGTTGTTCCAGACATATGACTGGAATTGAGGATCACTTGATAAAACTCAAACCTCATTCATCTAGTCATGTAACCTTTGGTGATGTAGCTAGAGGAAGAATCACAGGTGTTGGACAACTGGACAGTGCTGAAGCACCAAAATTAAGGGATGTCTTGTTGGTTGAGGGACTGAATGTCAACCTAATAAGCATAAGTCAACTATGTGATCAAGGTTTAAAAGTCCACTTTTCCAAGGATAAGTGTGTGGTCATTAATGATGAAGGTAAGGAAGTAATAAGGGGATCTAGATCCAAGA